CACATAATTTCTTGCGTGGCTGGGAACTTTCCCAGTCAGATGCAGGTCTCAGCCAGCTTCAGGCTGGGCAGGGAACAGTCCCCATGCAGGGAGTTCCCAGCCCCTGCTCCTCAATTGCAATCGAAATTGTGGAGCGGGGGCTGGGAAGCTCCCTGCTGCTGGGGCGGGGGACATAGTCCCCACACGGGCACACAGGGCAGGGGATGGGGAGCTTGTACCTCCCCAGCTTAGTGCTTGTGGAGCTGGGTGAGGAACATGCTCCCCAGCCCCCACCAGCAGGGTGCTCCCAGTGCCAGCTCCAGGACCATGGGGCCGCTGCTGAGAGATGCTCATCTCTTAGTCCAAGCTCCATGCTCATGGGGCTTGGGCTGGGAGTCTCTTATCTCCCAGCCCAAGCTCTATGGCCTTGGGCTGGGAGATAAGGATCTCCCAGCCCAAGCTCTGCAGTCATGGGGCTGGGCGACACTTTTCTCCCAGCCCCCCACTTCTCAATCATGATCTGGGGGCAGAGGTCTTGGAGTTCCCTGCTGCTGGGGCAGGGGGACATAATCCTCACTGGGAGTCAGATTTTTGCACTTACACCAGCGTTACGGTGCCATTACTAATGCTGAGTAAATCTGCTACTTGCATTTTCACGTACCAAATTTACTCGGTGTTAGGGAGGTTTACTATGAAGTAAACGTGCACATGTAGACACACATGCTTGTTTCGCAGTAAACTATGCTAATGCAAAGTTCAGCATCTCGTGTAGGCACACCCTGTATTTCTGAATGAGAGAAATGAAAGAGTCCTAATAGCTGAGATTTCATCTGCTGTATGGTAGGGGCACCATATGAGCAATTATCAGAGAGCAGCTGGCATTCAAGAAAACCCTACTCCTTTTATCACATGGCAATCAAATTACATGTGCATGCTTTCTGATGCAGAAGTTTCCGGAACCAAAATGTTTTACATTAATTAACCCTAAGTAGAATCTAGTCTTCTCTCAAATTCAGCACTATCAAAATATGATGTATATAAATATAAGGTGCACGGGGAACAAATAGGATGAACTAGAAGTCATAGCATGCGAAAAAAACTAAGACTAAATTGGCATTACGAAAACTTGGTGAGATCACTCCGATGGGCTGGGATATCAGCACTGAAGGATTTACATTGTTTTGGGAAGACTTGTTCCCAGGCCCGGGAGAAAGCAAGCATAAAACAAACAAAACACCCCCCCCCACACACACACACAAAAAAAATCACAAAAAACTAATGGAGCAAACTGCCCGGGGAAGTTGTAGTTTATCCTGCATTTCAAAAAAAGGCCAGATAAACATTTAAGAGGGATGGTTTAGGAATAGTTCATCCTGCTTTAGTCCATGGGGTTGGACTAGATGACTCCAGGTCACGTTTTAGGATTTTCAACTTACTGAAGACAATCCAGTCAAATCAGCTAACCAGTTCAGCAGCACCCGCAATATATCAGCAACAAAGTCAGCATTTAATTGCTATATGTTAAAAGAGGACCGTAGTGAGATTGAACCTTACCAATTGGACCTCATGAAGAACTGACTGGTTCTTAACCCAGGCATCTGTCTGGTTATCAATGTATTTGAGTGCAACAAGAATTCCCTGGAACAAATATTCAGAGAGGTCAAATCCAGTATACATTAACTTTGACACAGACTGCTTGGAAGAAATCTGCATGAAAAGCAGGCAGCTATCTGAAAATAGAGAAAGCTCTGAAAAACTTAAGGCTTCTTTTAGCTAAAATAGCTAACAGGATCCTTGCCTGTGCTATCCGTCAAAGACCTACCAATAACAGCATCAGAGAATATAGGGAGAAGAAGTGGGTTTCATTTAGATTCCTTTGTATAACAGGCTACCTTATTGTATTACATACAGATATGGGCCTACTTTTCAAAACAACTCTCTGGGAGTCATATAATGTATGAATGGAGATGTTACCCTGAATAGTAATGCTGTGTGATGTAGTCAATGGCTCCAATATAAGCAGTGATTTACAACTAAAGAGATATGGCGTGTTTTTGGAAGGCCAATTAGATGCTTAAAAAACATGGCTCCCTCTGTAAAAATGCATAACGTTTATAACTTCAGTTCTACAATCTTTCATTTTTGACAACATGGAGCAGGATGGGTACCAGAGACCTTAGTAAACCACAACATTGCAGTCCAGACAGTGCAGCAGAGAACTTTTGTGGGTTTTTTATTCAGAATTTTAAGACCTGTTCCCCTGTACAGATCTCTCCGCCCTTGCAAAGGCAACCAGAAAGGGCACAACCAAATTCAACATGACAGGAGAATGCACACATATCGGAGCCCATCTAATCTACTGACATACCTGGTAAAGACCTCTTGTTGTATAAACGACTTCTTTCCTGTCCTTCAAAACTGAGGGCTGATTCCTTGAAAAAATCAAGCTGGACGCAGCGCTTTCCTCCCCTCTAGGCATTGGTGTGCTGGTCTGTGATACTACAAAATGACTCTTAAAGAGAGGAAGCCAGAGACACAATGTTTTTAAAAATGCAATAATAGCTTAGTTAAATGTTAGAAAGCCTGAGACTTGGTCATATTGACAAAGACACGCAGATGAGCATGAAACCCATTAACAGGCTCCCTGCAGTGCCTACCAGAATTGGTAAAGACAGAATAAAGAGAGACAAGGTAGCACATCTGATGTATTAACGGGGAATTGTGTGGCCCTGGCCTTCACTTCTAAGCCCACGTCTAAACAAAAAAAAGTATATTCTATTAAGTGTAAGTTCACCATCTGACATAGTTCTTGCACAGGCAATCTCCAAGAGGATTTAAGGCTAAACTAGAACTTTTGCCACATCTGTCTGCCAAGCAGTGAATTTAATTTAATTCAATTTAATAGTCTATGCTGCCTCAAGGTGGAGGGTAGTCTTATGCAGAGTTTAGATTTAGGTTGTATGGGATAGTTTGGATAGAGCTGATCCTGCCTCAGGCAGGGGGCTGCATAGAAACCCGTAGATGACTTCTGCAGGTCCCTTGCAGCCTGACTTCTTTAAGTCTCTGGCTCTAATTCATTAGTTGGGAAAATGTTTTCAAAGTCCTTTGAGGAAAAAAATGGATCTGACATAACACCAACAGGGAAACACTGTTCACATCAGTCACAATATAAGGATCTTGTATTGAGAGGTACTGGACATTTATTTCTGGAGGCTGAACATCTTTAACTCCCATTGATTTCAATGAAACAAATGCCAATATACAAGAGTTGAACCAGGAGCACAGTTTGACCCATTAATTCCTTAGGTCCCTGCCAGATGTGTGGGTAAGGGTGGGATGCAATCTGATATGAGATCCACGCAACCCCACTTCCTGCTGTGCCGCAGATGCATGGAGGGAGGCATGACTGTGGGATTACATGGCAGATTCCATCACGCCTTATTGCTTGTGCAGGGAAAACCCAGGATCCCAAACTCGGGCTCCCTCTTCACTGGCAAATAGCAAGCTCCCATGGCTGGGAGCCCCCTTAACTGACAGGGCTCCCACTATGGGGGTGCACCATGACCTGGGCTTGCAGCTGCAGATGGTACATCCTTGTAGCTGGCAGCCTGCAGGTAATCCAGGAGCCCCCATCAGCTGATGGGACTCTCAGCCACTGGAGCAACTGGTGCTCTCCAATGGCTGGGAGCCCTATCGGCTAACAGGATTCCCAGGCACAGGGGCTCACCTGGCCCCATGTTCAATGAATAGTGTGATAGGAACCAGCCACAAAGTTATTATTTCACATTTTCGGTGGAATAATGTTGTGGCTTATTCCTTGTTTTATGATACTATTAATTGATTGAATGGGTGGCTGGGTTACAATTTAAGATGTGGTTACTAACTGGTTAATCACATCTTAAGTGTAACATATGGTATAGGCCTTAGTGGCCAACATAGCAAAAAAAGCATTCCAGCATGCCAGTAGGCTCGTGGGTTTTGGTGAGATTTAAAGTACTTAAAGTTAAAGGTTGCTTGAGTGTTTTGTTGGATCATGGCTCTAATATGTAGATGTTTATAAGTGCATGAAAAAGCATGGGAAATCACTGAGGACAACAAAATCCTGTGGACTGCAACTTGTACTAATCCTAGTTTACCTTCTGATCTCCAAGGACAATGATATCATCATAGTTGATTTTCCACCAGATGTCATCCACTTGCTTTTCTACCTTCCCTTTCTGGATCTTTAGAAACACCACAGTGCTGGCAGCTCCTGAGGTTGTTACCAGCAGGACAGCAATCAGAACAATCACTGGCACACCTGTTAAAAAACATGGTACCAGGTGCAAGGAGGTAGAGAAATACCTTGATGACACCACCATGCCGATCATTTTAGGGTCACGTTGTCATTTGGCTTCACTGTGATCTGATGGATCCTCAACTCCTTTGCACCACAAAGGAACTGTAACACTAGTTTAAAGAGCCCTTTGAGGATCCTTAGGAGATGTAGTGCTATCATAGCATTTCTATCCTATATAGATTTTAGGAAAACTGAATAATCACTGCTAATGATGTCTGTACCTTTGTGCTCAGCACGTCTGAAAATCAGCCTAGAATGTCTCAGGTTGAAAACCCCCAAATGAAAAAACTTCAACAGTCAGCAGACATCTTAGACAACTCTGACTTGTGTTTTCAAAAATTGGCAACTAAACTCAAGAACCTAGACTATATGTAGCCTGATCCTAAAATCCTGGGTATCAACCTAAGCTGCTTTCAGCCACTTATTTAGGTGCACAGTTGATATTTAAAACAATAGCAACAACTATGTGCTGTTTTCCAATATCTCAGCCTTGTGGCAATGCTTCTCCATGCCTTCATTTTCTTGTAAAATGGGTACACAATGGGCAATTTAATACAGTCATTCTGCATTATTGTTAGCTTTCACTAACTGGGGTTGGAAAAAAGCTTTCAGATCTTTGAATAAAAGAGGCTAAAGAAGAGCAAAATATTTTGTGTCTCTCTCCCCTTCCAACTTGCCTGAAAGTGCTAATCTTGCCGTGTACGAGCATGCTCACTTGTAACTGAAGCTTTGCACTGTTCATTATAAAATCCACAGTCTGGTCTATCTTTAGGAGGACAATTATCCAGCCAGCTGATGTCGGTAATTTCCTCTGTTGGGCTGTAGATGGAGACACACAAATATAATTGACTGATTCTGCCGTTAATTCTCCTTGGCTTTTATTTTATTTTCCACCAAGGGAAACAAAACTATCATAATGTCTAAAACTTACCAATTCCATAGCTGGCCAGAAAATAATATTTCCTGTACCCAAAAGAAATTTTCACCCAAAAAATGAACATTTGAAATGCTTAGTTAAAAAAAAATGTTTGTCTTTAGGGACTTATAAATTAAACTTTATTTTTAAAGGGAATAGAACAAAATTCATTTGTTTCTAATCAGCATAAAAATAAACCAATGGAAAAAAAAACCCTACACCAAATATAGTTATGTTTTTGGGTTTTCTGAAAGGGAGTTTTTTTTTGGGGGGGGGGGG